CTCAGCCTCCCAAGTAGCTGGGACTACAGGCATGCACCACTATGCCCGGCTAATTTTTTTGTGTTTTTAGTAGAGACGGGAGTTTCATGTTGGCCAGGATGATCTCGATCTCCTGACCTCGTGATCCACTGCCTCAGCCTTCCAAAGTGTTGGGATTACAGGCATGAGCCACACCCGGCCTGCTTTTATTTATGTTTTATTGTACTGTGTCTTGAAATGTTGTTTTAGTTACTAATTTGTATTGAATCACCTTCTCATATTTCTATTCAAGATACAAGTAATTTACACACCACAATTACATTATAACATTCTGCATTTTCTGTGTACTCACTGTTACCAATGAGTTTTATACTTTCACATGTTTTCTTGTTGTTCATTAATGTCCTTGTTTCAGTTTGAAGGCCTCGCTAGCATTTTTTGTAGGACAGGTCTGGTGTTGATGAAATCTCTCAGCTGTTGTTTGTCTGGAAAAGCCTTTATTTCTCCTTCATGTTTGAAGGTTATTTTCACCAGATATACTATTATAGCATAAGAGTTTTTTTCCTTCAGCACTTTAAATATGTCATGCCACGCTTTCCTAGCATGTAAAATTTCCACTGAGCTTCCACTGGTATGTTGTTTCTTTTCTCTTGCTGTGTTTAAATGGATCCTTTCTTTATCATTGACCTTAAAGAGTTTGATTACTAAGTGTCTTGAAACAGTAGTCTTCTTTGAATCTACCTGGTGTCTATAACCTTTTTGTACTTGAATATTGATATCTTTCTGTAGGTTTGGGAAGTTCTCTGTTGTTAGCCCATTGAATACACTTTCTACCCATCTCTCTTTCTAACTCCTTTTTCTACAAATAAGTCTTAGATTTACCCATTTCAAGCTGTTTTCTAGATCTTACAGGCATGCTTCATTCATTCTTGTTCAGTTTTCTTTTGTCTCCTCTATGTATTTTGAAATAGCCTATCTTCAGGCTCACTAATTCTTTCCTCTGCTTGATCAGTTCTGCTGTTCAGTGACTGATGTAGCTGGGGGTGGTGGCTCACGCCTATAATCCTAGCATTTTGGGAGGCCAAGGCAGGAGGATCAGTTGAGCCCAGAAGTTTGAGACCAGCTTAGGCAACATAGTGAGACTCCCGTCTCTACAAAAAACATTAAAAACTTAGTTGGGTGGCATGTACCTGTGGTCCCCGCTTTTTTGGAGGTGGAGGTAGGAGGATCACTTAAGCCTGAGAAGTCAAGGCTGCAGTAAGCCATGATCACACCACTGCACTCCAGCCTGGATGACAGAGATATTGTCTCAAAAAAAAAAAAAGACGACTGATGCATTCTTCAGTGTGTCCATTGCATTTTTCAACTTCAGAATTTCAGCTTTATTCTTTTTAATTATTTCAGTCTCTGTTAAATTTATCAATAGGATTCTAAATTATTTCTCTGTGTTTTATTTCATTGAGTTTCCTGAAAGCAGCTATTTTGAATCCTGTATCTGAAAGGGCACAGATTTCTGTATCTCCAGGATTTGTCCCTGGTACCTTATTGAGTTCAGTTAGTGCAGTCATGGTTTCCTAGTTGGTCTCAATGCTTGTGGATGTATTTATTGCAGTCTTTGCAGTCTGAGCTTGTTTATACCTGCCCTTTTTAGCAAGGCTTTCCAGGTATTTGAAGAGACTTGGGTGTTGAGATCTACGTTTTTGGTCACTGCAGCCATATCTGTACCAGGGTGTTGGGGTCTGGCATGTCTGCCGGGGGTCTGCCGACCAGCGGGAGTCCCCGAGACCGCCAATGTACATGTCTCATTCAACCTGAAGGAGAGAGTGCGCAGAAGTGAAAGAAAAATAGAAAAGTGGAGTCTGGAGGTCTGCATAAATTATGGTTAAAACGCAGCAAATTTATTCTTGTGGGTTCCTTTTATACCTTTTTTCTTATTTACATTTACTTTATCTCAGCAGAAAAGGGGTAGATAGAAAGGAAATAGAAATTCCATAAAAAATAGTTATCAGGGGCTTGTGATAACTGCTCACAAAGTAGTTTAAGGGGGCTTGTGATAGTAGTTTACAAAGCAGTGTGTTTTTCAAAGACATACAGTGCAAACAAACAATGGCACCTTTAAGGTGGCTTGTTAAACCTGTTTTCCATCAGTAGCTAGATCAAAGGCTTAGCTCCAGGGAAAATATGGGCAGGGGTCTCTTGTCCCTCTTAGGCATCTCAATTGCAGCAAGTTTATTGCTTACACAGAGACTGATAGGGACATGAAAGCAGACAGCACAATGTCCTCATAACCTGCAGACCTTTGTTTTGCATTCTGTTTATGCTTTCAGTGACTCAGCCCGTGGCCTTTGTCTCAGCTTGACAGCCCTCGAGATGGGGGGTGCAGATAGGTCCAGCAGCCATCATGGGGCGAGTCACGCTGCTGTCTCAAGCTGTTGGCGCGAACACCGCACATCAGGGGGCATGCTGAGCCCAGTAACACTGACTCTTACAGACTCTAGAGGTGCTACCTTGATGGTCCTAGATAAGATCCAGAAGAATCCTCTGGAAGAATTATCTGGATTATAGGTAGAGACTCTTGTTCTCTTATTCTCTCAGAGTCTTTCTGTTCTGAGCTGCCTAGAGCTGGCGGAGGGGTGACATAAGCACCCCTGTGGCCACCAGCACTGGGACTGCACTGGGTCAGACGAAGCCAGCACAGCAGAGTCTTACCCAAGGCCTATGGTAACCACTGGGGGTTATCACTTGTCTCCAAAGTTCATTGAAGTTCCTATGGCTCTACAGTCAGCAGGTGGCAAAGCCAGCCAGTCGTGTATCCTTCCCTTTAGAATAGCAAGTTTCTGCCAGCCACAGGCACGTCCAGAGATGCCGTCCAGGAGCCAGGGCCTGAAGTCAGAAACCTTAGGAATCTACTTGGTGCTCTATTCTTGGTGCCAGCTGGGCTGGCACCCAAACCACATGGCAAAGTCCTTCCCACTCTTCCCTCCCCTTTCCACAAGCTGAGGAATTTCTCCCCATGGCTACCACCGCCCCAGGCCCACCACTGCCCCAGGCCCATGGCAAGTATGGCCTGGCTACTGCCGGTGTTCACAGGGGCTCTTCAGTCAGCTTGTGGTGAATGTTGCCAGGCCTGGGATTCTCCCTTCAGGGCAGCAAGCTCCCCTTCAGCCCAGGGCAGGTCCAGAAATGCCATCCAAGAGGCAAGGCCTGGAATTCAGGACCCCACGACCCCAGTTGGTGCTCTGCTATACTGGGGCCAAGTTGGTACCTAAGCTGCAAGACAGAGTTCCCTGTACTTTTCCCTCTCCTTTTCTCAAGCAGGAGTCTCTCCCTGTAGCAACCACAGAGAAAATGTGCCTGGTCACACCTGAAGCCAGCACGTCCTGAGTCCCACCCAAAGTCCATGGAGAGTACTACCTAGCTACCACTGCTGACTGTTCAGGGCTCAAGGTCTCTTTAGTCAGTAGGTGATGAATGCTGCTGAGACTAAGTTCTTCTTCTCAAGGCAGAGGGTTTCCTTCTGGTCCAGGGTATATCTAATTTCATCCAGGAACTGGGGCAGCTAGGGCATGGAATGGAGGCCTTTGCCTGGTGCCTTATCATACTGTGGCTGAGCTGGTATCCAAGGTGCAAGACAAAGTCCTCTTTAGTCTTCCCTCTCCTCTTCTCAACTGGAAGGAAGGGGTCTCTCCTGGACCTGCGGGCTGTACTACCCCAGGTTAGGGAAAGGGTGGCACAAGCACTGCCTCAGCTACCCTGGCTGGTGTTTCACTGGGTCCCATGCCCCTTCTAGTCCACTGGCTCCAAGCCCAGCACAGCACCAGGACTTCCCCAGGAATTGCAATTCGTGTGGCCTAGACTGCCTTTCAAGTTTATTTAGGACCCCAGAGCCCTCTAGCCCATGGAGGTGAGGCTTGCCGGATGTCAGGTTCCTACTGCTATGATGAACAATTTCCCTAGACCAGCTGGGGCTGGTCGAAATACTTCTGCTGTGGGCACCAACTGAGTTCTGCAGTCTTACAATCACTCTGCTCCCTCCTCATAGTGCACAGATTCTCTCTCAGCACCATTTGGCCACTGCGGAGGGGGAGGGATGGCATCAGCAATTCAAGACTGTCTTACCTTCTTCAGTGCCTCTTTCAGTGAGATTAAGTTAAAACCAGATACTAATTGCTGACTTGATTTTTGGTTATGATAAAGATGCTTTTTCTTGTGGATAGTTGTTCAGTTTGGTGTTCCTGTTGGGGGGATGATCAGTGGAGGCTTCTGTTGGGCCTTCTTTCTGTGCTTCCTCTCTGATAGTTTTTTTTTTTTTTTCCCAGAACTTTGAATACGTTGTTCCATTGCCCTTTGTCCTCATTGTGTTTGAGGAGAAGTCAGCTATTAGTTTTATTGTGGTGGATGAAGGTATTAAATTGTTTCCCTTGCTGTTTTCAAGGTTTTCTCTTCATATTTATTTTCAGCATTTTGACTGTGATGTGTCGAGGTGTGTACCTTGTCGCATTACCCTACTCGGAATTCACTGAGCTTGAATATGTACATTAGTGTTCTTCATCAAATGCAGGACGTTTTCAGCCATTATTTCTTTTAGTATTTTTCTGTCCTTTTCTTTCTCTTCTCTTTCTCCTCGCTAACTTATACTTAATTTATGCATATGTTGTCCAGGTGTGGTGGCTCAAGCCTGTAATCTCAGCACTTTGGGAGGCCCAGGTGGGTGGATTACCTGGGGTCAGGAGATGAAGACCAGGCTGGCCAACATGGTGAAACCCTGTCTCTACTAAAAATATGAAAATTAGCCAGGCATGGTGGTACACGCCTGTAGTCCCAGCTACTCAGGAGGCTGAGGCAGGAGAATAGCTTGAACCCTGGAGGCAGGGATTGCAGCAAGCTGAAGTCACACCACTGCACTCCAGCCCTAGTGACAGAGCGAGACTTCATCTCAAAAAAAATAATAAATAATAAATAAATAAATATATATATATATATATGCATATGTTGATGCACTTATTGCTCTCACATTTCTGAGGCTATGAGTCTATATTCTTTTTTTGAGATAAGGTCTCACTCTGTCACCCAGGCTGAAGTGCAGTGACACAATTATAGCTTACTATAACCTTGAACTCTTGGACTAAAGCAATCCTCCCGCCTCAGTCTCCTGAGTGGCTAGGACTACAGGCATGTGCCACCAAACTGGCTAATTTTTAAAATTTTTGGTAGAAATAGGATCTCACCATCTTGCTGACACTGGTCTTGAACTCCTAGTCTCAAGTGATCCTCTCACCTTGGCCACCCAAAGCACTGAGATTACAGGCATGAGCCTCTGTGTCCAGCCTGTATTCATTTTTCTTCATGCTTATTTCTGTCTCTTCTTCAGATTGCATCATTTCTATTGATCTGTCTTCAAGTTTACTAATCCTTTTTTTCTGCCAACTCAGACCACCCTGAAGCTGTGAGAAAGTCTCAGCCAGGCCAAAGGGGAGCTGCTGACAAAAGCTTTCCCACTAGAAGAAACCATAGTCCAGACTTGACGAGCCTCACTAAGCTGAGTGTTTGGCTGGAGGCAGCGTTGGTGTATCATGGCATCAGCACAAAAGTGGAGCAGCTAGAGGCTGCCAACTAGGATTCTCTCAGTGGATTCCCTGAAAGAGGATTTAAGGAGCACACCTTGATAGCTGCCAAAGGATGGCCAGACACGGCATGAACATATTAGTCTGTTTGTATTACACTTGACTACCTGTGATAGAAAGCCGAGATAACCTTTGCTTAAACAAGACAGAAGTTTGTCTCTCATGTTGAAGTTCAGGGCTGGTCCTTTAGCTCCAAAAGGCAGAAGAACCAAACTCTTTCTCTTTCATTGGTCTGCCGTTCTCAGTAGTTGGCTTCTACCTCATTACCCCAAATAGCTGTATTTGCTCTAACCATCACATTTACTTACCAGTCTATAGGAAGGCGGAAACCTGGGAGAAAAGGTACGCCTCATGCCTTTATGCTCACTTAGCAGCAGCTGCATGCAGTCCTTTCATCTCACTGTCCAGAACTTTGTCATATAAACATATTATGTCTGACCTACCCTCTGCGGGAGGACTGAGCTTGTTCGAAAAAGACCGGACCGCAGGTTAGAAGAAAGTCTTAGGTTCAGGCTTTATTGAGAGGAAAGAGCCTCGGGGCGGGCCAGCCGGGAAGAAGAGGAAAATGGCCGCGCTGCTCAGAGGAGCAGGGTTCTTTTATAGGGGGCTGAAGGGCCGGGGGAGTGGGGAAGCCGAGAGAGCCGAGGTGGTGGGCAACGGTTGGTCAGTTTAAACCGCTGGGCGGGAAGCTGGGCGGCGGGAAACTGGGGAGTGCTGATGAGGCAGGCGGTGATTGGTCAGCCGGTTGCCGGGCAGGAGGTGGCTGCGGCCGGGCGGGAAGGCTAGAGCGGTATGTAGAGTGAGAGATAAGGGAGCCTTTTTGTGGGGGAGGGAAAGAGAGCTTTCACGATAGGGGCAGAATTTTCCAAACATTCCCGACTCCTTAAAAGAAAAGAAGAAAAGAGGGGGTCAGGGGCGTTGGTTGTCTCTCTGGCTACTTCCTGCTGACAAGGGTCGACGGGGGGTTCTGAAGAGGTTTCTTTTCCTAAGGAGTCTGGATGTTCAGGGAGAGGTCCGCTTCTAGCACTAATTCAGGGTAAGGTTGGAGCAGCATCTGGTGGATGGTGACTCGAGTTAGTTCTTGAAGCGCCGCTGTAGGAACTGTAGAAAGCAAGGAGCAATAAGTAAGATTAGGCAAACGGCTATTAGGGGCCCAAGCAACGGGGACAAGAGGGTATACATAGAGTAAGACCACCACGCCGTGGCTTCAGCTGAGAGTTTTTGATTCTGCAGATTAGTTTTGAGTTTCTGGAGGTTCTCGATTTGGGTTTCTACTAGGCCAGATTCATTGATGTAGTAACAGCACTCTTCCTGTAGGAAGATACAGGTTCCTCCTCGTTTGACGGTGAGCAGATCCAGGGCTCTTCGGTTCTGTAAGGCAACTTGGGCAACTGAGGTAATCTGTCGTTGGAGCAATGCTAATGACTCAGTAGAGTCATCAACAGCAGTTTGGAATTGTGAGGTTAGCTGGGCTATAGCTTGTTGAGAATGGGTTAGTGCTCCTCCTCCCAATCCAGCTGCAAGTGCCGAGGTTACTAGGGAGATGCCTACAGCTAGGGGCAGAAAAGCAGCTCGCCTGGTGCGGTGGAGCGGTGCTTGTAGCATTTGGAATTCGGCTGAGGAATATATAGTGAGTTGGGGGACTAAGGTCACTGGGAGCCATAAGGGAGTTGGGGACTGGCCGGTGTGGAGAGTTTTTGTGAGGGTTCTGTTACACCAGAAGAAAGTTCCCTTTGGAGCTGTCAGATTGGTGGTTACCAGTATGGTTTTGTTACAGTTGGAGTAGTTCCGGCCTAGGGAGTAGCATACTGGTAGCTGTGTAAAATCAGGTGGAGTGTAGAGATTTACTTCCTTGATGGGGGAGAAGGGAGAAGTTGAGGCTGAAAGGTTGAGAGGGATGGGGTAGGGGACTGCGACGAAGGGAGTCTGTCCTAAGGAGGCACACATGAGGCATGAGGTTAGGTCAGTTAATCCTGAGAGGTTAGCTAATTTGATTACTTCTTTGAGAAAGGTTAGCCAGGAAAACGGAGACGAGTGTGGTTGCAATTGGTTATTTAGAGATTTTTCTTGTAGGTTAATAGCGGAATGGACTTGGTGGACCGTACGTACCTATGCCCGCCAAATATACAGGTGGGAAGAGGGATATGTGGTGGTGCCGAGGTCATATAGGGCAGCTTTCTGGGGGCTTTTCCACTGGTCATTCCAAGGGTCAGGTATGAGAAGAGAATACCGTGTATAACCGGTTTTGACATTTCCTTCTCCATCTACGTCTGGAACAATTTTGAGCCAGGCAGGAATGTTTGGGTGCCGCTGTATGTCAAGGGCTGCATGCAGAGAGCAATCACCCCAGGTGCAGCCCATTCAGGAGCTCCAGGGAGTATCACTGCATCTTCCTGATGGTTGGTCATAATTGAAACATATGACAGGTAAAACCCCAATTCCTTCATGGACATTGTAGAATTTAGTGAAGTTTAGGTATATGGCGCTTTGGCACCCGGCTGCGGGGCAGTCAGCAGTTGCAAGAAGATGGTTGTGGCTGTATGGGGGGGGTGTTACAGATAAAGGTGGTTTTGGTATAGTTTTCAGTTAGGAAAAATCTCCATCTGTAGGGGGTGTGGCTGCTAGGCCCTGGTAAGTTTGACAGATAAAGGGCCAGTAGGAACAGCCTTCCAGCATGAGGAGGGTCCATGAGGGGCCTTTTTTAACCGAGACAGGTGAACCCAGGATGGGACTTCAGCGACTTTTATGGCTGATGGAGTAGTGAGGATGACAGTATATGGTCCCTCCCACTTGGGGGCGAGGGGCTTTGGGGAGAGGGATTTAATAAGAATTAAGTCTCCGGGGGAGACTTTTTGTGTACTCTCGGATGGCTGGGTGGGTTGGGGAAGAGGTGTCTGCGTGCTGTGGGAGAAGGTTTCGAAGAAGAGTAAAGTAGGGGAGGTAAATGTCTAGAGGAGTGGTTTCTGGCGGTGGGGGAGTTGAAAGTAGGAAGGGGCGACCGTACAGCAGCTCAAACGGGCTAAGCTGTGATGGGCCTCGGGAGCTTGCTCTTAACCTGGTGAGGGCGATAGGAAGCAAAGTTACCCAGGATTGGCGGAGCTCAAGCATGAGCTTGGTCAGATGCTCCTTTATTAGGCCATTGGCCCGTTCCACCTTACCAGAGGACTTAGGATGGTAGGCGGCGTGTAGCTTCCACTGAATTCCTAGAGAGGTAGAAACAGCATTAGTGACTTTGGAGATAAAGGCTGGGCCGTTGTCTGACTGTATGGTGGCCGGGAGTCCAAAGCATGGGATGATGTCTTGAATGAGATGAGTGGCCACTGTCCCGGCAGACTCAGAGGCTGTGGGGTAATCTTCAATCCAGCCTGAAAAAGTGTCAACAATGGTTAGCAGATATCGGTACTGTTTGTGCTTTGGCATATGGGTAAAATCGATTTGCCAGTCTTGGCCAGGTAGGAAACCGCGTAGCTGATGAAGCTGGCGCCGAGGATGACAGGTGACAGGAACCCTGGGAATTAGTTTTTGCGCAGAGAGTACAGGAAGACTGGACTTCCTGTATGGTACTGAGGAGGTGGTGGGGGTGAAAAAGTGGGTTGAGGAACTGGTATAGGGCTTTAGGTCCAATGTGGAGTGAATTGTGGATGTCTTGGATTATTTGGTACCTTTGCTTTTCGGGGAGGATGAGGAGGTTATGCTTGAAGGCCCAGTCGTCCTTGAACCGTACCCCAGGGGTAGACTGGAGGATCTGAAGTTCTGAGGTGGAGTATTGGGGGCTATATGACTTGGACAAGAAACAGAGAGTGGAAGTGGGTGGCAGATGGTTTCTTGCCGTATCTTTAGCCACCCTGTCTGCAAAGGCATTCCCCGCGGCTACGGGTGAGTTCAGGGACTGATGCCCTTTACAGTGGACGATGGCTACCTTGCTAGGGAGTTGAACGGCCTGGGTAAGGGCAGCAATGAGTTTTCCATTGAGGACAGGCGTGCCTTTAGTGGTGAGGAAGCCCCGTTCTTTCCAAATCATGCAGTGTGAGTGAGCTATGAGGAAGGCGTACTTGGAGTCAGTATATATATTCACTTCTTTGTTCTGGGACCAGGATAGGGCCCGGGTAAGGGCGACCAGTTCAGCCTGTTGTGAAGTGGTCCCAAGAGGAAGGGGGCGGGTTTCTATAATTTCAGAGTGAGTTACTATAGCATAGGCTGCTCTCCGTGGGCCGGTGGGATGGGGTATAGAGCTGCCATCAACGAATAGGGTGATGGAGGCAGATGGTAAGGGTTGAGGGAGCAAGTCTGGGCGAGGAGACTGGGCTAATTTGAGGATTTCAGTACAGGAATGTAGGGGGCTGGCATACGGAGGGCAAGGGAGGAGGGTAGCTGGGTTTAATGAGGATCAATGGGAGAGGGTGATGTTGGGGTTCTCAATAAACAGTAGGTGAAGCAGTTGGATATGGGAGGGCCCGAGGTGGGGCAGGGAGTGTTGACTGAGCAGTTCGGTCAACCTGTGTGGAGAAAAGACTTGGAGTGGGAGTTGTAGATTGATCTTAAGAGCTTCTGTGGTTAGGGTGACAGCGGCAGCTAGGGCTCTAAGACACGGCTGCCATCCTCGCTCAGTTGGGTCAAGTTGTCTAGACAGGTAGGCTATGGGCAGAAGGGTCTTTCCTACTGGTTGGACTAGCACTCCTACAGCTGTGTGTTGTTTTTCATCCGTGTATAACTGGAAGGGTAAGTTGGGATTAGGCAGGGCTAGGCTGGTAGAGGTACATAGGGTGTTAAGCAGTGACGAACGCCCGGTTGACAGAACCTGGTGAGGAGAGTAGTCCCTCGGGGGCTTCTGCAGCAGCATGGTATAGGGGTTTAGCTAGCAAAGCATAATTAGGTACCCAGTGGCGAAAAAACCCTACTAGTCCTAGGAAGGAGAGGATTTCTTTCGCTGACTCAGGGGCCTGGAGCGCCTTTAAGGCTTGTAGTCAGTCGATTGTGATGGGCGTGAGCTGTATACCTAGGTAGGTGACGGTGGGTGAGGCTATTTGTGCTTTGGTTGGTGACACCCGGTATCCCCTATCTCCTAGGAAATTGAGTAGGGCGGTGGTGGCCTGGATACACTCTTGGCGGGTGGGAGAGCAGATAAGAAGGTCATCTACGTACTGGAGGAGGTGAGAGGGCTTGAGGTTGCAGTGGAGTAGGTCAGTGGCGAGTGCCTGGCCGAATAGGTGCGGGCTATCTCGGAAGCCCTGTGGAAGAACTGTCCAGGCCAGTTGTTGGGACATGTTCGTAAGGGGATCATCCCAAGTGAAGGCAAAGATAAAGTAGGAGTTGGGGTGTAGAGGTATAGTAAAGAAGGCATCTTTTAGGTCTAAGACTGAGAAACAGGTGGTCCCTGGGGGAATGTTAGAGAGAATGGTGTATGGGTTGGGGACAACTGGATGTATGGGAATTACAGCTTCATTGATTAAGTGCAAGTCCTGGACCAGTCTATATTGACCCTAGGGGTTTCGTACTGGGAGGTTGGGGGTATTACATGGGGAGCTAATGGGGATTAGGAGGCCTTGACCTTTTAGTTTCTCTCTGATGGGTCGGATACCCATACGGTGGGCTTTAAAGATGGGAAATTGAGGGCGGGAGAGAAAACGAGGCGAGGAGTCTTTAAGGTGGACTTGAACTGGCTGGTGGTGTGTAGCTACAGATGGGTTGTTAATGTCCCAGACCTGAGGGTGGACTCCAGGGAGTAGTTCGGATAGGGCTTTTTGGCGTTTGGTATCTGAGGTGAGGGCTAGGAGAAAGAGGCTGTGTGGGTTGGCAGTGGGGAAGGTTATGACGGCCTTTAATTTTGAAAGGATGTCTCGTCCCAGAAGGGGTACTGGGCAGGTGGGGATTATTAAAAAGGAGTGAGTAAATGGAGTGGAGTTATATGAGCACATGAGTGGTGGGGTTTGGTAGGGGATACTCGGGGTCCCGTCGATTCCCATGACCGAGACCTGGGAAGGAAGTACGGAGTAGGTAGCCCCCGTGTCCAGCAAGGAGACACTTTTACCCACTACCTGAAGTGTGACCCTAGGCTCAGCGAGGGTAACTGGAGTCGGAAAGCCAGGGCCCCGCTAGTCGTCTAGCAGCCCTAGTAGACTGGGGAATGGAGCTCCCTCGGAGGTCGGCTCCTGGCAGACAGGCTCCTCCCTACCGAGGGTAACTGCCGGCTGCGTAACGCCAGTGTGTCTGTTTTGAGGAACCGGCACCCTGGGGAAGCTGGGGCAGTCTGACTTCCAGTGTCCCGGGAGCCGACAGATAGGGCAAGGCTTAGTTGGTGGCTGTGGTTGTGGACAGGCCTGGGACCAGTGTCCTTCCTTTCCACATTTGAAACATGCCCCCGGAGGGGCATGGGTTTTGGCCTTGGGCTTCTGGTTTCCTGCCGGCCTTAGGGCCACCACTAGGGCTTGGGTCTGGAGGGCAGCCTTCTGCTTCATGCGAGTTTGGCGGGCAGCCTCAGCCGCATCTTCCCTGGCATTGAATACTTTAAAGGCCCCTCTTCTGCTTTCTTTAGTTTCTTTCTTATGTCGGGTGCTGATTGGGAGATAAAATGGGAGGCTAATACAGTGGCCCCGTTTTGGGAGGCTGGATCTAGCCGAGTGTACCGGACTAGGGCTTCTTGTAAGCGGGCGAGAAAGAGCGTGGGATTCTCATCGGGTAGTTGGGTGATTTCTCTTAGTTTATCATAGTTTACAACTTTGTTAGATACAGTATCCATTCCCCTGAGGAGGTATCTAATCATGTGGTCTCTCTTGGGTATATCAGACCCTCGACTAGCCTCATAGTCCCATTGGGGGTCTTCACCTGGGATTACTTCGGGGCCTAGGGGGATCTGGTTATCTATAGCATGATCTTTGTCTGCTTGGTGTCTGGCTGCAGCAAGGATGCGCTCGTGCTCCTCTAGTGTGAGGGTGGAGGTACAGATAACGCGGACATCATGCCAAGTGAGGCTGTATGCTTGAGTGAGGTATTGGAATTCCTTAATATAGGTGGATGGGTCGGCTGCGAAGGATCCTAAACGTTTCTCAATTTGGGACAGGTCTTGGAGTGAGAAAGGAACATGGACCCTGACTAAACCTTCTGCGCCTGCTACTTCTCGGAGTGGGGCCAGGATAGTTGGTTGGTGAGAGCGGGTGTGGGCCGCCACCGGGGAGGCAAGAGGAAGTGTGGCCTCCGAGGGAGGGGGCCCAGAGGGAGTAGAGGAAGAGCGAGGCATGGCCTCTGAGGTAGGAGGTGCAGAGGGAGTTGGGGAAGGGCGTGCTGTTGATGGCAACTGGTTGCCGAGGTTGGCAGGAGGGGACAGATGTTCAGGCAGATCTTCCAGTGAGGAGTAGGGAGGGGTAGAGGTAGTGGAGGAAGATTTACGAGGGGTACGAGCTAAGAGGATTTGGTAGGTGGAGCAGGAAGAACATAGGTCGGGGTGGGTACGGAGGTCCCAAAAAGCCTGAACGTAAGGAATTTCATTGTCTTTGCCCGTGCGGCGACAAAAATTGTTGAGATCTCGGAGGGTGTTGAAATCGAAAGTGCCAATTGGGGGCCAATGTGACTGGTTACTGAGTTTGTATTGGGGCCAAGCCACCTGGGACAGGAAGACAAGCTTTTTCTTTCTGAGGGTTTGGGAGTATCCCAATTTGGTAAAATTTCACAGCAAGCACCCAAGGGGGGTGCTGGAAGGTATTTTGGACTCTGAATTTCCCATGGCGGGCACAGCTACAGACCCTCCGGCGCGGTTGGGTAGATGCAAAGAAAAGGCATCCCCTTTCGTTGCAAACTCCCCAGAGTACAGTTAAGTACGGTTAGGGAAGCGGTCAGAGGGGCGTCCCCCGTCTGGCAGCTACCCCTCAGAAGGCTCCTGGAGCCGGAACAGAGGACTACCTCAGCTCGGCCGAGACTAGGGGAGGAGTCTGTGCGGAACGCAGGAGGGGAGCAACTGCACCGTGTCGTAGGAGGAGGAGAAGGGAAGGGGGGGTAAAGCAAGAAAAAACTTGGCTTACCTTAATCGGAGTGTGGAGGTGGCAGGGCCAGTGTTAGGTAGGTCGGGGGAGGGGGCTGTGGCCGGGCCAGCGGCCCCAACTCCCAGGTTTCGGCACCACTTGTCTGACCTACCCTCTGCGGGAGGACTGAGCTCGTTCGAAAAAAATCGGACCGCAGGTTAGAAGAAAGTCTTAAGTTCAGGCTTTATTGAGAGGAAAGAGCCTCCGGGCGGGCCAGCCGGGAAGAAGAGGAAAATGGCCACGCTGCTCAGAGAAGCAGGGTTCTTTTATAGGGGGTTGAAGGGCCGGGAGAGTGGGGAAGCCGAGAGAGCTGAGGTGGCGGGCAACGGTTGGTCAGTTTAAACCGCTGGGCA